GGAGAATTTATTGTCTGGAAAGCATGCTGCAGGAGATGAAGGGTGTCTGTGGATGATGCTTCTAAAAATGAACAAAAAACTCTGAGGACAATCCCCAAAGCATAATTTAATACGGAAGAGAAAACACCTTTTGTTTGCAACATAACTAATATGACTTTAATCAGGAGAGGCTGTTGCCTGTAATTGAGGATTCCCTGGTCAGGACAATAAAATTACAAACACTACAGCCTTGTAGTTAGCCTGCTCCTCACATATTTAAATTTAATTCAGTCTGTATGGGAGAGCTGCTCATACTACAGGCAAAGAGCTGCCAAGACACTGCATCAAATTCCCTTTCCAGTTAGTAGAGTTGACCTTGCACATATGCACAGTGATCTCGGCATCCACTCAGAAATCCTCCAGCCTAGGACTTTTTCAGGGAAGTCACAATGCAACACAGTTATCAGATGTGTTTACTTTTCATTTCCCCAACTCCAAGGCAGAGGAAGGTGACTTTAAGGGATTTAAGCAGGATTCTTATTCAACTCAACATGGCTATGGTTTCTCTTTGTGTAACTAATTCCTGAAATTTTAGTAACTTTTTTTTTTTAAGGGCCGTTTTGAATTTCTTTACTAATTATTGGATCTTGAATGCCAGGATTGGGATACCTAATAAACATTAAAATACTGCTGAAAATTGGCTTATGTTTGACTATTACACTGAGATCACTGGCATTTGTCAGTTATACACCAGCTTGGTAGAGCTTTTTCACTGGTGTGCAAAAAGCAGTTTTCATATGTGTAGCAGCCAACAACTCTCTTGTTGCAAGTTGTCTTTTGTAGGGCCAGAAATTATTAAAAGTTACACACGGCATGTGATGTCATTAAATCACAAGGTTACAGTGAAAAAGTAACTCAGAATTCATCAAGAACTCAGCAGCAGCTCAGGTGTACTGCTTACCTGCTACACTCCATCACAGGATTAAGAAATTTCTTACTATTTTATCGCACATACTTAAATTTATTCTTTAACCTTACTCTGTGTTGAGAGTCAGTCTAGAAAAGGCTAAAGAGAAAAAGTTTTATTTGAAAGAAAATTGTCCTAGTGAAAAGTTAAGATTTTAACCGCATTCTAAGTACAAAGCCCAGAATTTCTACCCGTTTCACAACTTGCACTACGCCAGATGAACTAAGTTTGTGAAAGAATTGGATGTGCGCTGAGCATCAGAGCTATTTCAGGTGATGAATTCATATCTCAATTTGCATGGAACTCTTTACCATGGAACACACTCTACCAGCACCACAAGACAAAGTGAGAAATGTCTTTCTAATGTTTCTATTCTGCAATTTATTTTCTCCTTATCTAAGGAAGGGAAGGAAAAAGTTACCTAGTGCAACTAAAAGTCTTTAGACACAGTACATTGGAAAGCTGCTCTTCAGGTCAAATGCTTGCAGTAAACTGTCTGGCTAAGCAAGTTGGAAAATTAATCCTCTGGAAAGCAAATCCATTGGCACAACTTCACCAACAGTAACATCACGTTTAAGGAATCCCTGTTCCTGTATACTGCTGAGACTGCTGGACAACAAATAGTGCTCCAATTCCACCGGGCTATATATTCCAACAAATGCAAGATGCTACGTGACTCAGGAACGACTGTCATATTCGTGCTGAAGTTCAGTTTCTTTATGCAACTTTTTGCTTCATGCTTCAGTGGTTAAGCAGCTGCAGTCAGGAGGAAGAGACAGACAGGCACGTGGTGATACGCAACAGTGATAGTCAATAGGAGTGCGCCAGGAAATCTAACACGCAAAAAAAAAAAACAACTCCCTGTCTTTTCTTGAGATCTCACAATGATCACTATAATAATGGATTCTCCTAAGGCTTTTAATCTATTGCCTAGAGATAGACACACAATGGATCTGTCCATGAGACTGAAAGAAAACTTTATGAGGGTGATATTATATCCTTCAACCATCAGGAGCCATCTGAACTTAGACCAAGGTAAACCCTCTCTTCTTGTTCAGCAATTTGAAATAGCAAATTGTACTCTCCTATAGTGGAGAAAAATCTTTGTTAAAGTAAAACAGAAAGCTCAAACTCCACAGGCATTGCAGGCTGATGGGCTTTAACTGCTGTTTTCCGTGCCTGATAACGGGACAAATCGACTACGTACAATCCAAAAAGAGCGTGGATAGAAATCACGGTCTTCTCTCTCCCTGACCAGGTAAGTTTACACTCCAGTGGTGACACCCAAAAGAAGTTCCTAAATAAATAGTTCAAATACACTATATTATGTCTTAGGACAAACAGATAGAAACATTACCAGCTGCACAATGGAAAAAAAATAACCCAAACATCCTATATGGCTGGGATGAAGGTTGGACTAGATGATCTTCAGAGGTCCCTTCCAACCCCTAACATTCTGTGATTCTGTGATTCTGTTTTTTAAAGGGTTCACCAATTACTCACCAGGTCTTTCTATTAAAAACATAATAATCTATTTTTAATTGTTTTATACACTCATTCATTTCATTTACATTTCCTTAAATGTCTTCCTATTATCTGTGTTTGTACAGTAACATATATATTGCACAAACAACACAAAACATTGCTATTACGGAGTAGTCGAAACAGGTATTTTTCAAAAAAGCTATATTTATAGGAATTAATATAACTTATTTCTACTGGGCCTAAATATAAAGACAGGTGATAAAAATTATATTGTTTATATAAATGTATTCTATTGTAACGTTATAAAATCAAAACATTTTTATCTGTTGAGTGAAGCTACAAGAACTACACACACTCTTTTGGCATTCAGTCGCCGGCCATCCAAAGGACACTCTTTACAGCATCCTAGAGAACCTCTGGGGGATACTCAGAGAGATACAAGCCATATTAACCAACTCACTTAGTGCTCACTGCACTACAAACACAAGATATTCAGTTTCCCTTGTAAAAGGAACAAAGATCATATCAATAAAGTATTTTGCACGAATTTACGTCATTTCAAGAACTAACAGTCCGTTATAACTGTGATGTATGTCATATATACCTGACAGCTCCTTAGCAAATTAAATAAGTCATCTTACCACCAATTTACAGTGATGTAGCCAAGACCTAAGTGTTAGTTATTCCAAAAATAACTTTCAAAGCAGAAAAATCTTTCTTGAATTCGTACTGCTTGTACACAGCTGGTCATGATGAAGTCCACTGCAAAATAATATTCTTTCTTTTAAATACAAAATAAGGTTTGTTCTCTCAACAAGAACACACATACCTGTCGATAGAATTTCTCATACACAGGATTTGCACTCGATAGCTGTAAAAGAGAGAGAGAGAGAAAATTAAGCCTAAAGATCCAGATTTCAATTCCTCTCTCCCTGGATAAATATATAAAACACTTTTTGCTGGTCTTCAAAGAAGCACTAAGCATTCATATAATTCTATTTATTCTGTAGAATGATGAGGACTATGACAGCTCTTCATATGGTAACTTTTAGAAGGCTAACTTCTTGCTTTGGAGTCAGTGATACTAAGCACTATCAGATTACCATCAGACAAGTCACCAGGTTAGGCAGTAGGAAACAAGAATTCTTAACGAAAAAAAGAAACCTTATATGACAGGCTAGGAAGTGCTCTCTAATGAGTACAAAGCAATATAGCTTTATTTTATTATCCACTACATCATCTTTAGAATTTAGTGTCATATGCAAGTAGTCTGTAAAACATTCAGATATCCAAATTAACTCCTGGATTCACAATTAAAGCCACAACAACGGTACTAAATTGAGAGAGTAATATTTTAACTTAAGATTTTTTTTGTAACTTGAATCATTGCCAGAGATAACTTCTGCTTTAATTCCACTGCCATCTACCTGACATTCAGTGCTCAGAGGAACTAAGGTGGACAAGGATAAAAAAGCTTCTTCAGAAAAGGCTTTCTTGATGAATTTATTTTTACACCATTCCTAGAAACTCTGAAAAAGTCCAAAGCCTGAAACCATGCAAAACCTAATATGTTGGCCTACGCCAAATACCCTTGTCCAAGAGATTCCTAACCAATGTATTTCCAGGGTTAACTCTCTTGCCCAACGTAAAGAGGTACAGAATCAGATACTATTTTCATGACATGCATGCCCCTAAATCAAAGATTGTGTGCATGACTGGGTAAATTTATGCAGAGGATAACCCTAGAATTATCACACTGTGTTGTCCTCACAATCGCAGCTGGAACAACTGAGCATAACACAAGTTAATTAAACAACACATACACAAAAACCCAATCAAACAACTCCGTAACTCCAAATATCACTGAAAAACAGAATTCTCCCTCCTAAGAGGATTATGATCTTAAAACCCAGCTTAAATAAAACCACGTACATTTTCCTACAGCAAGAGCTAACACAGTTGCTCCTGTGGCTAAGCGCTTAGATGTTCACAGCTACTGATCATCAAAGATTATTAAGAGGGAATGCCTAGTAGAAATCAAGAGTTTAGTGTGACCCTGTTCAACTACAGAAAGTGTGTGGTACCACCAGAACATCCTGAAAGAGAAATTATACAGAAGAGCTAGAAATTACAGGAGAACTTTCATTCAGACCTTGACACCTGCTTATTCAGCAAGCGTGCTGCCCCAGCGACACTCCGTTTTGTCCAAGAGCTGCATCGTGTTTCTGGTTTTCCAGTTGTTTTGGGGTTGGGTTTTTTGTTTTGTTTTCCTTTTTCTTTCTTTTTGCGGGGAGGGTGGGTTGGTGAGGTTTCGTTTGTTTGTTGAGGAGTGGGTGGGAAACACCTCTCGCATAGTCAGACATGAAAAAATCATATATAAGCTGGGAAAACATCATTGGTATTCACTGCAATACCTCCATTTATACAGCTTAACCTTGCTCTGACTTTGCTCTTGCACCCACAGACTTTTTTTTATTTCAGCCACCAACTAAGCAGGCATTTACACGTTCCTTAGAATAGCCAGATGAAATACATTTAAGTTTTCCCAGACTTCTGGCTACCCTAACACCACTATAACAACACTTTCAATCACTTTCCAACATGCTCCAAAGCATATTGTGCTTGCTTTACCAAATCTCAGATGCTGTATTTATCATCTCAGCTACACTTTCAAGAGCAATCTAGACGAGTAGCTCTCCTAAACATTCAAGTATTTGACTTACTAAGTACTATTACTTCATTATAATGTAAAAGCATAGACACAGAATCAAATTAAAGCTACGAGTAGAAAATTAGAATGGAGTTGGCCAGTGCAGATGCTGGAAGTATCAATTCTCATGCATCATCCCTCTTGCCCAATATCACCCTTTGTTCAGCCAAATGTTTCATTATTACAGCCAAACCCATCATGTTTCCTGGACAGGAAGCATCATGTTTTCATTGCGGGACTTCATCATGAAGTGCAACACAATCTTTTCATTCAGTACTTACAAATCAGTAATTGTAATTTATTTCACTAGTGTTTCCAATGTTCATTTTAACATCAGTATCACTGCAGCAACTGGAATTTCTGGTGATGCCAAACAGAATAATAGTAGTAAAAAAAGTTGCCCAGACTATTTTGTTAGCAACAGGTTTGAGTTTTTACCCCACAGTAAAACAACAGATGCACAGTCTAGTATAGTCTTCTGAGACAAGAAGAAAAGTACTGCTCAACGTCTTTTAAAATGCTGTAGAATGTACCTGGCAAAATTCTTATGTGATTTGTACCAACAAATTGCAGAGAGTAATTTCAACTTGTTTTCAATGCAAAAAGGAGGAAGGAAGAAAAGGTCAGACTCCACAGCATACAAAAACAGAAATACGTAATTATGACTCCATTTAAAAGTTTATCACTCACTAAGAGCAACATCTGTTCTAGTAATTATAACGTGTGTTACAAGCCTATGAACTTTAGAATACTAACCCAGGAAATAAACAACACCTTCAGGGACACTCATCTTTTTCATCTTCTGTTGTCAATCAAGCCCCATGTTTTCATCCCTCTGGCACACTCACATTTAGGTGTAATAAGACCCTACTACCAGTCTGTCCACCCCATCCATCCTCAGCCTTCCTTCACACAAAAAGTTTAAAAACAAACAAAAAGCTGTCCATTGAGAAAAACAAAAATATCTTTCCACTTCAACCCAACTGAGATAGAAAGGGGAAAATAACGTATTCTATTCTGATTAAAATCCAAAAATACTATATTCTACCACGAAGCAAAGCGTTAGGATTCATTTTAAGAGTTTCCAGACCAAATGACACAATCTAGTTGTAAAGATTCTTCATGCCAAAAAGCAGGTAAGTTTATAATGCAAGCTGGTTTTCTTACAATGCCCTTTCCAAACAATAAGCAACCTGTCTCTTTTCCCCCCCACTGCTTTTCTGTCTTATCAGAAGTGTTTCAAGGTAAAGCCTTCTACTACTTTACATTGCATAACCAAGCGCATCTCCTACAGCAATAACTGAAGTAAAGACAAGAAAATATTTACTAAGTATTTATACACAAATACTATTAAGTACTTCAAAATTCAGCACTTTGATTCCCACTGAACAGCTGAAATGTACAAAAACTCTGCTGTCTTCTCTCTCCATAGATATCTGTCACTGCATAATTAGAGAATGGTGCGATTTAATTGTCAAATTGCTGCAAGAAACCTCCACCATCTTCTAATCAGTACTGAACAAAGCCTGCATAACATGAAAGAGTAGCTCTGCTGCCTTTTTAGATGCAGCTACTCTCTAACAGGGTGGATGCAATATCAGTCAAAATAAGTTCTATCTGCTTTAGAAGCAGTCAGTGTCCTTTATAAGCAAATACAGACACACACACATGCATACTCAGATTTCCTCATCTTTCATGGAGGATCGAAAGAGGAACAACAGAACTCTCACTTCAGTAAAAAGAACAAACCAAGATCTTAATTTTATCATTTGGTTGATCTCGTGAAAATCAACTGAGACTTGCAGCTAATTATGACACAAATTGATACTACACGCCTTTGTCTTGTTTACCAAAGTGGCTCATAACTACTTTTAGACAACTATCATATTTTTAAGAAAAAGTTTTTATGATATCAGGAAGACAAGCACAAAAAGTTATCTTCCTGTTCTCCCTGAATATTCCTTTACAGAATATTTCATTCCTTCCCCCCTCAATCACACACAGTAAATTTTTCAGGATAAACCACTAGATCCATTTTTAAGAGCAACACAAAGTTCATGAATCTCTGAATTACATCAGCTTGCTGCAAACAGATCTTCCCCACTCTCCACACGTGTTTTCTGCATCTTCAGTTTTCTGTTCTTCCTCTCCAATTTCTCTAAATGAAATAGGCCAGATAAGCAAGCAGCTTTGGAAGGTCAAAAATAAAACTCCTCACACTGACTATAGTTTAATTTGAGTTTTCCAACAACAGGTGACAATTTGTGAGACAGGAACAGCTCTTCTCACTGTTGTTGCTAGCTTGTTTCCAAACTAAAGGCAACCAGGATAAAAACATCCACTTGGCAGAAGTTTCCCTAGAAGTTTCATACTAAATTCGGTTATGCTTAGACCAGAACACTTACTGAGCAAACTCAAGTGGCAACAAGATGTTGCAGAATGGATTCAAAACGGGGAGATAAAAGATACTTTGGATTTTTACTACACTGGAGGGAGATGAGGGAGATAATCACCTTCAGTTTGCAACACCTTCACAAGCATACTTGGTGTAATAAATTTCACCACAGCTACACAGTCCCAAAATATTTTTACTAATCAGTCAACATATCACACTTAGCACCAAAAAGCTTTGAATTACTTAAACGGCGCTTTCAAATAGAGGATGTCCAGCCCTCCCAGACACTGCACCTGCAAAGTAGTCTGAAAATACCCTGGTCTCATCTGGAAATACCCAGCTTCCCAGCCACGTTACATCACTCTCAAAGCAAACATGGGAAGGGGAAAAGAAAATCAGACACAATTGTGAGCTTGAGTGCAGGTTATTATGCCTCTCACTCCCTGCACATGGTCTACAGCAGAAATTACCGATCTGCACACTTTTTATTGCTGGTGTTTGTAACCGATCTAACTACACCCCCCCTGCTCCTTGTACTGTTATTTTCACTTCCTCATGCTCATCTAAATAAATTCAGAATGCTTCAAAATTTGTTATGACTTCATAATCCTGAAACTCCAGCAGTCAGAGCCTGCACTGAAGAATGATCTTCAGGCTTGCTTGATTCTCTAAGATGATTTTTATAAAATACAACAAGAAAAAACAACAAAAAAAAAAGAAAGCCCCACACAAATGGTCAACAACAGCAGAAATAGCTTCCTCA